TTTTGGCAGCTGTGATGACTCGTTGTTGTTCATCCTCTACGACAAGATGATAAGCCATTCCCAAGCTTGGTGTGGGTTTTGTAGATAGGATCTGTGTTTTAATGGTAGAATTCTCATTATCAAGACCCATAATTTTTATAGTCTCTCTTTATCTTTGGATTCGTTTAATCTTTTGCCCAACTCACAGGTATAACCAATGCAACACAGCTTGGAGTAGGTGTTGTCGACTGAATTTTGTCCTAGATAGAATGAAGTTTAGTGTAACAACTGAACACAGATGCTCCTTCCTGCCTTGTCTTCATGATTTGTTTCTTTAGTCCGTAGGCTCGGGGCACACTTTCTTTCCCAAACCTCTCTTCAAGGTTACTCCAGGTGTCATTGGTTGTGTTAACGTATTTCACACTAGATCTGATATCCTTTTCCATGGTGGTGGTTAGCCATCCTTTTATCGTGGCGTCACAACACATCCATTGCACGTGGATCTCAAATTTTACATTTGGTTTGCTGATCGTCCCATCAATGAATCTAGTCTTATTTTTGGCAAAGAGAAAATTCTTCATCTCTTGCGCTCAATCATTGTAGTTGTTGTCGGTAAGGGTATCATTTACACGCATCTGTTTGGGGTATTCAGAGGAGTGAATGTAGTAGGGTGAGTTGGAATCGATGGTTGTGGCACCTTTACCCTTCGACGATTTCGGTTTGTCTCTTGCCATCTTGGCGATTTTCATAACAGGTTATGGCATCCTACTTTGATACCATAAGAAAATTAAATTCTCCAAAACTTAACTTTCATTCAAAACGGGAGCAGCATATATATACAAGAGAGTCCTTATCGAAAACAAAACATGAAACAACAAGATACTTGGAGACTAAGATAAAGATAAACTTGGAACCTAAGACAAACTAGCAATCTACTAGGAATAGATAAAAATGATTTCCATGAGAAAGAGGATCCTTTTTCGGAACACGAAGAACTTATCTAAAATTAATTAGCTTTTATATTTAAGTTGTTTTACGTATATGTTGTGCACCAGTTAGGCCCGACTTTATGTTTCTTGAGTGTGGTTAGTGTTCTTTTTCCAAATTATGTATGTTAGGATCGACTTTATGTTTCTTGAGTATGGTTAGTGTTTACTTTTCCAAAAATATGTATTCTAAAATAGAAACCCTATTCCTAAACATAAAGAACTACTACAAAAATCATTGTTTTTTTTATATTCAAGTACTTTTTTGCATATGCTTTATAATATAAGCTTTTGGGACTACAAACTTAGGTGGATCGGGGACAATCTATTTTTCTGAGGTCATCTTTAAGAACTACATGCTTTGGTGGCTTTAGTATTTTTGTATAATACTTTTTAAAAAGGTTGGCTTATGGCCGATTTATGACCATGGAATGTTACACACATATTATATAAAACATTTTAGATTTGTCGGTGCTGTTTTATGTGTTTTGTTAATTTCCCAGTTTAGATGTTTGATTTAGAAACTTAAATACGTAATCATTACATAATAATAACTATTGACCAGTCTTTAATGTTCACGACATTCATGAAGGAGTTTTTATTTCTCCATATCAATCCATGCATGTTTTCATTTATCTCCTATGAACGACAACAAAATATGTAGTTGGTCAACTAACTTCTGTTGTGGCATTGCCAGGCATTATTATGCGTCTTCGATTTATTTTTGGTTGTTTATATTCGTTGTTTCTTATATTCTATTTGTTACAAGATGGACTCTCTATGTGCAATGAGTCCCCTACCTTGTTCATCAAGCTATGCAACATCTTTGATCTTTGTTTCTTATCTTGTATTTGTTACAAGATGGACTCTCTATGTGCAATGAGTCCCCTACCTTGTTCATCAAGCTATGCAACATCTTTGCAACTCTCGATAGTCGACTTCATGGAAATGAGCTTCTTTGGGTACCCATCATCATCGGAGAAGCTTGTAGATTGTTTAAGTTTATCAGCGATTTTGGAATAGCAAGAATATATTTTATAGTAAACCCTTACTTGAACCAAGTTTATTATCCTAACCGGAGTTTACAGAAAAAATATTTCACAAAGTCGAGTTGTAGATGAAAGAGCGTGTTAGGTCAAAATCCAGTGAAATGTTAGGTAGGTCTTGGATGGAAATAAACAAAAGTAAAATTGTTATTTTGGTTTAAAAATAATTAAAATATACAAAAATATATCTTTTATTTGGATTACGAAAATATTATATTACAATTTAAAACCTCGAGTAAAAAAAAAAAAAAAAAAAAGAAAGAAAAGTATCGCATTCCTTAAAAATGGCCCTTGGATTCCATGATACAAAACAAACATTTTTTTCCAATTCGAATGGAGCCAACCATAACAAATTCCTTGATATATATTACATCCTACCAAACACAGGGGCAAGCTAGTTAACTTGTTATGAATTGCACCCTTGAAATAATGCAATGTAAATGAAAATTTCATATGTTCAAACCACAGCACGCATATGATATATGATATGACTACCCAAAAATGTGAATGTGGTTAAAGGCTTAAAGCATATGATTTTGCAGAAGCAAAAATCTACAACTCTTCATGATAAAGATGAAGCCCAAGACCAAAACGAGCACATGCTCGCCGAAATGCCATGGCCTCTGCTTTCTGCACAGGATCCCCATACCCTCCCACGTCACCAACTGATGAAGTTCCAGTCGACTCCCTAAATATCTGTTCAAAAATCATCCATCACCCAACCAAATTTCTTTATTTCTTTTCCAATATATATATATATATATATATATATATATATATATATATATATATATATATATATATATATATATATATATATATATATTTAAAATCCTTAGATATTATGCATACCTCTGCATCAGTCCCATAGAGTGTTACCCGATAAGTAACAGAGACGGATTTCCCATCTGTTGAATAGTGAATACTTCGGACTTCTCCAGACCATTCTGTAATAAATTCCAGAGTAAATAAATTATATAATTAATATAATATTTAAAATCTTTTGCATAATACCTGGAGCATGCAGATTCATAATCCTGTTCACAATATGCCTGGGAATTAAAAACAGAATATCAGTCCCTTAAGCATCATACTAGTATCTTAAAACACTGTATATTGTAAGCAGAAAGCATTAGGCTTATAGTCTCTATTAGCTGAGAGTGATAACATCTGAAACCAAAACATTACAAAGCCCTAACTCTCCCAAGGAATCAATCAATGAGTAACAAATTCTATCCCACAAAAGACAACCAAAACACAAGTCAACCAAAACAGGACACTTAAAGGTAAAAGTCAACCAGACCAACTATTAGTGATTGCATTCTTCTACAATCACTAATCATAGTAACATATTGCATTATTGCTACAAGTATAAGGTCTGTTCCAAATCTTGGCTTGTAAATAATTTTGTGTGCTGAATATTCAAGAAAAATAAGCTGCATCTGATAAAAGTTATAAAGATGAAAGGCTCACTGAATGTGAAGATGAAAGTGATAAAGTTGAAACTTAAAAAATCGGGAAAGGGAATGAAGCGGATACTGAAGACAAAAATAAAGGAAGCTTAAGGACCGTATAGTAAAGGAAATAAAAAAATAAAAAAAAAAATAAAAAAAATAGCCTTCACTGATTTAGTTAACTCTTTAAATGTTCGTTTCATAGAAACTGAGATAAAGAGGGTTAAGGGTTATATAAATAATAATAATATTTAAAAGGGGGATCATCATCTCTCAACGTTGCTCTTGAAAATATGGTTCATCTAGGACTCGTCCTTTCGCCATTCAAATCATTGTAATGTGTTTCTTTCTTTGATTAATAAAATGATTTCTCACTTTATAACTAATGTTTTGTTAATTAGTTGTTGTGATTGCTTTTGAATTGTAAAATGCATCTTGGTGTTCCATAATTCTCAAGATTATGTCTTAATCTTGATAGTTATTGTAAATTTCCCACTTAGAATCACAAAATTTAACACATATCCATGAAAAACAACTACCAATAGATTTGAGATCTCAGCAACATTCAGCAGGGAGTTTCAATTCCAATGTAAATTGGGCTCTTTGAAGCCACTGGTCTATCATGTCAGCCACCTAAAGAGCTGTTGTAAACCTGATTTACATCTCACTTTATGCTCATGGGGTAGGGTTTAGGGTTTAGAGTTCCCTACAAAACAATTATGTAACAACCAAATATTTATGCTCACAAGTTTGATACAACATACATTAAGTTTAAAGTTTAAACCACTTTAATCAAATATAAATTGTGGATTACAAACTTCACTTAGATGAACCAAATAACTGGAGAGTGTGTTGCTTTGAATTAGGTTTACGATTTCCCGGAAAACCAACCAGCAATTTGAAGGAAAGCCGAGACAAAGTAATCAATCTAACTCAAAATATATGCACATTAACTTATGCCATATTGGGAAATTACTGGTAGCAAATACCTATATTAAGAAAAAGAAAGGAAGAAACAGAGAGACAAACCATGGGATGTATTTGATAGAGAAGCCACTGGCCTCTACTCGGGCTCTGATGAGGGAATCCGGGACTTTCTTGTTCAGTTCTTTCAGAATTTCTGAAATCGGACGGCTTATCCCTGACGTCGGAAAGTCGTCATCTGGAGGAGGAGCTGGTATCTCACTGGTGGCGATTATCTCCTCTTTTTTCAGTCTCTTAGTAGAATACAATAGACCCTGAGCACAGAAAGCGCTTTTTGCTCCGATCACATCGAACGATCTCAGTCGTAATGCGGCCGACAGCGATTTTGTAGACTCCCGACTCAGTGATTTCATCAGACAAAACACCATTGTTTCCTGAACCAAAACCCCTTAACTCGCTTAGAGGGGTTTTACATATTTTACACCGTTGTGCGAGACAAGCTTACATTTTCGGCTGAATGTCAAAAAAGCACCTCTCAAGTTTTCTCTATTTACATATTTTTACCCCATTTATATATATACTAATTTAGAACTACATTGATGAAAAGTTCTATGTTCCTATTTGACCACTTCAGTATTTGTTTTCTTTTTTCTTTAAACCCTTTACTTTGCTGTAACATTTTGGTTTCACTCATTTTACATGTTTGTACATGTGCTGATATTCAGCTTATACGTGTTAATTCTCCACCGCTATCTCCGTTTATCTCCAATCCAGAGAATCACCGCCTCGATCTACAAGCATCCGATCGATCTTCACAACCTAGGCGCACCTTCACATCTTCTCTACCTCCATCGGCAGCTTTCAACGATGTTTCGATTAACGTCTTTGTTCTCTTTTGCCCTTCTCAGGAAGATTGTCGACTTTCTTTGCAGGTGACTGCTCAACCATATTCTTCTCTTTTTCTATATTTTAGATATACATTCCCACCGCTTCTTTTTTCTTCTACATCCTTTCAATGTTCTTCCTCTGGGTTTACAGCTTTACCTCCATTATTCCTCTCCTCTCGATCCTTTCTCACTATCATTGCGACCACCGCCCGATGGTCTCTCCTCCACCATTTACCCAAGATGGTCACAGTGGACATCACCGCCGCCCTACGCATCGTCTACCACCTGCAAACGTTCGCAAAATAAACCAAAATACCACCACATCATCAGGGCCAGTCCAAACGTATATGAGACCCGGGGCGTAAAGAAAAAAAGGGCCCCTCAACGACAAATATAATAAAGATTAAAAAAATATATCATTTATTCTTTACTATATACATTTTCAATTAGCACTAACAAGTAAGCCAAATTGTTAATCTTTTGAGCTACTTTGAATTTGAACCAACTTTAGACCGTAATAATCATTCAGGTAATATTTTTTTTATATTTATACATTGCATAGCCTAGAAATTTTGGGCCCCCTGAAGACGTGGGCCCTGGGCGGTCGCCCGGGTTGCCCACCGTCTGGACCGGCCCTGCACATCATCTACCTCCTGCAAAGGTTCATAATACCGGATTCGCTAGATCCATATGCCAACATCGACATCGGAAGACCACAACTTGCAACAGGTTGGTTCGTCTTCTCCTCAATTTTCTGGATTAGATTTAATGCATCTGCTCAGTCCGATGTTTCTATTTTCATTTTCTTCTACTTCTACCATTGTTGCCCAAGAAATCCTTAACATTGATTTCTTAGAGATGATTAGTAATCAACTGTTCTTTTATTATTTCTGTGAATGGGGTTGTCACTAAAAACCAAGAAGCTGAAGCCTTGAAGAAAAAGAATGATGCCAACAGGAAGTTGATATTCAACAGGGCCAAAAAATACAGTGAGGAGTATGAAGCTCAGGTATACGATCATATGATTCATATCCCATTCTAATCCTCTTTATCTCTTTCAATCTTAAACTAATATATCTTTTTTATAGATTTCAGCAAAAGGAATTGATTCAGCTGAAACGTAAGGCACAATTGAAAGGTGAATTTTATGTGAGTTGTGAAGCCAAGATGTTGTTCATCATTAGGATTCGTGGGTATGCATTATTGCAAACTGTAAATGACTAAATTCTGCTAATATTACAACACCTGATTATTTATTTAAATTTCTATCTTTTCTAAATATTCAGCATCAATTATGACGAGAATAAATTTGTAACCACTTTATATCTATTTCATATTGATTCTAATTGCTTAAACCTTAATTTAACTGTTGAATGGAGAGATTTCATTTGCACTTTATAACCGATCAGATGATTTCAGACGGTTTATTATGTCGTGTTCGACATTTATGGTTCAATAACCTCACCACCAATGCTTCTGCGTTGATATCTCAATCCATCAAAAGGGTGATTTCTCTTGGGATGGGTGACCGGGCTACTTTTTCTTGCTTGAGCAGGTGAGTTACGGCTCAATCAATTCTATTTTATGTCTTTCTTCTAATAGATACGTGCCATCTTCTTATTTATGGATTTCGTGTTTCCCATTTTCTTTTATTTATGCTTTATTGACAGATTTTGGAAACAAAGGAGTACAACAGCAGGGGCTGAACCAGAATTTTACAATAAAGGGGCTTACATCATAATAAGATTAACCAATATTTTATAACCGGGTAACGTAATATGGTCTATAACTTACAGGAAAATTTGATATAAAAGATAATACATAATTTTAATATCTAAAAAAATTAATATATACATACCGACCGTGTCCTATTCAAAAATTTTAATGATAAAAAACAATAGAAATATTAAAAATAAACCTAAAAGTAATAATTAACTATTTTACCAATAATAAAAATTAAAACAAACAAAAAAGTTATAAAAATTTATCATCCTAACAAAGTCAATAAAATAAATAAATCACAACCTATCATCTGATAAATATTACTCACATAACAAGTAAACACAAAAATATATAGATTATTAAATAAACGGTTTATAAAATATGATTTTATAAGACTTAATATCATCAACTTCTTATTATTTATTATTTATTATCAATGTTAACAAAATAGTAAAAATTGTATAAGAAATGTTAGATGTGAAAAAGCAATTAGTTCAATGGTAAAAATCCTTTATTTTTAGGTAAATCTAGTCTATGTTGATAAAGGATATGCAACATTAAACCCTTGTTATTATGAAAATCAAAATAATATTTATGAATTTAGTCAAAGGGAGTAATGTATATAAATTGGAAAATTTGAAGGGAGTAATGTATATAAATTTGAAATGTTGAGGGGGGCAAAGCACCTGCTTGCCCCTGTACTCCCTCCGCCATTGTAGAACAGGGAATCACTGTCTTCGGTTCTGTTGCTTTTACTTTTCATTTGGAATCGACATGTTGAAGTTTGTATAACTTTAGTTTTTGAGGTAATTTTCGATTTTGTTCTTCATCTACCTATTTCTTTAATTTCTTTTTGTTCTTTTGTCTTAGAAACCTTACTTTTGCAGTTTGAATGGTCTATTTTGTTTTTCAATGTATGTGTGTATTGGTTGAATACAAGACGATTCTTGAGCTTTGGTTGACAGCCCTGGGATAAGCTCTTTCCTACAGTTCTTATAACTTTGTATTTAAGAATAACAATGGAATTTGGATTGAACTGATGTTTTTCATAAAATTAGGGATAATCTCACTTTTCAGGAGGTGTTCTCCAAGTTGCCTAAGCAATTACAAATTTCTGTCTGCCTAAACGGAAAACAATACTCCCTATAAATACTAGAAAGAAATGACAAAAAGGACAAATAGCAGCCATGAAAAGAAAAAGAACATTCTACTCCCACTAAGGATGTCTCCCACGAATTAGCTGCAGCAAAAAGATCTCCTAGAGACTAAATTACCCTTAGTTTGTCCCCTGCAATTCACTAGACTGGACTAGCCTCACCGGGCTGCCACCTATGGGCTTCTTCTTCTTACGAGTGTAAACTTGACTGATTGGGGGCCTATCAACACTGGTGGACCAAACTTCAACCTTGTCCTCAAGGTTAAAACCTGGAAACTACAAATTCACCTTGGAGGAATCTTCCCATGTCGCTTCCATTTTGGTTAGCCCTTCCCACTGCAGCCCCTCCATTCTTCTTGTATCGGACCCCTCGCAACTCTTCTGGTTGAGTCACTAGCTCTAAGTCCTCGTTGAGCTGAGGTGGAATTTCCGTAACTTGTGTTGGAGTTCATATAGCAGCCCTGAGTTGTGAAACATGAAACGTAGGATGAATACTAGTGGTGGGGGTAATTCGAGCTTATAAGCGACTTTCCCAATTTTTTTATAACAAAGGTCCGTAGTAACGGGGCGACAACTTTTCCGATCTCCTACGAGCCAAACTATAACATACACGTTTTGAAATCGTGTTTCAAGTAAATAATATTATGTTAATTTGAATGTTGAGTTCTAACAGATAGTTTTTACTAGAAATGAAGTAAAACTATGTTTAGAATCACTCATAAAATATTGGAAGTCTTATGAGATTCCAATTAAAAGCCAAATAGTGAAATATAGCGAAAATATAAAATTTGAAATAAGTAAAATTTTATTATTAAAAATTTTAGATAATCTCGTTAGAAACACGTAGGCGAAAACCTCATCGAAATCCGAGTTATAACAAAGAAGTTATGACCAATCGAAGATCCACGACAAAACCGGCACGGCGCCGAATGACGTAAAAAGTGAGTTTTTGATAAACTACTTTTAGCCTTGGTAATCTAAATGAAAGTCTTAGTATTCATTAAGCCGAGAAGTTCGATAAAAAGAACGCCAAAATCTAACTTCGTATGAGGAAGTTATGGTTTTTCGAAGTTTCAGCTTAGCAGTACACAGCTAAAAGCTCGAATTTTAGATCGAGTGATATTTAGGCGACACAACCTAAACTAGAATTGAAGGTCTCGTCATTTGTAGTACAACGGTAAAAAGTCTAACAAAAACGGACGTCGAGTGAAGAAGTTATGAATTTGTAACGGATTTTTCTGTCCCGGTCTGTTAAAAATAATAATATTAAAATTAAATTCAAAATTAGCAGACGAAGTCTAAAAGAAAGCTGTAGAGCATAATTTTAGCTACGCGTGCATATAAAGAACGTCAAAAACGGAGCTCGTATGCGAAAATTATGAATTTCAGAAGATTTTGGTTCAATTTTCCGAGAAAATTCACATGAATAGTGCCAGCCACGTCACCCTCGCGAGATCGCGCCTCGTGTCCGACACTCGTCGTAGTCCGGTTCACCCAGAGCTTTGGCCCAATGCGCGTCCGACGCGCCTCGCCCTTTGTCGCACTTTGGAGCCTCGCACCCGGCCCCTTGCATGCGCGCCACTTAATTCGCTCCGCTGCTGCCGCATGCCCTTCACTACTGCTGCCACCGAGCTGCTTCGCTGCTAACTCGCCCTTCCCCCCTCGCATGTCTCTCTCCCTCGTTGCTATCTGTCTTGCTGACTCCTCCTTCTCGGACTGACCCTCGCATTCTCGGCCTATAAAAGGGAGGCATGCGAGCCTTCTCAGGTAACTGTAGAAATTTAGCATTTTCACCTCCCTTTTTGATATTTTTACTATTCCGACTTCCCCCGAAGCCCCGATACTGATTCCAAAGCCCGAAACACGCCCCGAGACTCCTGAGAAGCCCAAAAAATTTATCTTTTCGGTTTTGAAGCTCTACCTTCGCAGAGCCCGGTTTCCAATGACGAAAATCATATTTAAAGCCAAAGTACTGCCCAAATTAATATTTTAGCCCCCGGTTATTTCACAGTGAGTTTAATATATAGGAGCAATTGTATGTTATGTGTTATATGTATTATGTTCTTTTCAATGTTATTATTCTGGGTCATTTTCCCGGGTTATTTTTATTCGCTATTTTTTAGCGAAGAAATACCTTTGACCATGTGATCAGTGAAAGGACTTAGATTCATGTTGGTACTGGTATGTAGCCTCTGGCCATGTAGAACATGTCTCCGTAAGAGAATGATTTCTATTTTATGGTATTGGCAGAAGGTTAGATAGGGCTATAAGCCTGAAATCTACCAAAATGTTAATCCGAAGTTGTATGTCTTATGTGCCGTTTGGGCCAAAGCTTTATTGATGTATATCAAGCATTGAAATTGTTATGTCTTATTGATTGTATATCTTTAAATCAAATCAATGATGGATATGGAATGTTTGTCACATGATTCACATATGCCCTTGTTGTTCCTTGTTCATCTTTGCTTCTGCCATATTGAAGTATATATATGGCATAACGTTATATTGTATCTATTATTGAACTCACTAAGCGTCACCGCTTACCCTCTCAATGTTTAACAAATTGCAGGAGATAAACATCTAGTATAGCTATATACTAGTAGAAGATTTTTGAATAGTTTGAAACTATTGTATTGATAAAAGCTTATGAATAGTTTGAAATTATTGTATTTTACACTCCCATATGTATAAAACTATAGAATCCTGGGAAGTAATGTAATATATAACACTTTAAAATAGTCAGTTTGTATCTAGTAGTTTGTAACCTCTTTATCAATGTAAATTATTGTTTTTATGAATATGCAAGTAGCATGTTTTGGGGTAACTATATTGTCAAGTATGAAAGTTTGGGTCTTTCATAAATACGAAAGTTAAGGTCTTTCAATCATGGTATCAGAGTAGTAGTTTGAGTGAACTAAATTCCACGGATTGGTATTTAGACTTAAACTATTGGAAGTTCAATATATGTACTTAATCATTGTAAGTATAGGGATACAAACCATAGGAAATATATATAAGTAAAAGTATTAGGTAATAATAAACCCTAATATTCTAAAATACGATGTTACCACGTATTGCAGAGCAATGGCTGAACAAGTTCGTTGCATACCCCTGAGGTTGGTGGAGGTCCTCAACCCGAGGAAGTGAATACTCCAGTATCTCCTCGTGAGGAGCAACTCTTGGGTAAACTTACCGGTGTTATTCGACAGACTCTCGAAGAACACAAAAAGAATGGTGATAAGGGAAAAGAGAAAGTCACTGGGGAATCTTCAAAAGGAGAGGTGAAGCGTCCCTCGTTCAAAGATTTCAAGAGTAGCGGTGCTACAGAGTTTTCTGGCGTTCTCGA